TAAATAAAAAAATACGATGTAGAATGATACGAAGTACGGAAGTAGTACGTTATTCTAATATGTTTGTTTATTATAGAAAAATACCTATTATAAATAATATGAAAGATATGCATATAGAATAAATTTCGTATATAGTTGCCAAATTGAAAGTTAAATATTATATGATATTTAAATTAATATTAATGAAGATTTTGTACAAAAAGAAAAAAAAAAGGAAAGAAAAAAAAGTGGCGGGAAAATTTTTAATCCAACGTGACAAGTGTCATATCAGATTCACTTTTAGTATTATGTAATTGATTAGTTATGGCTAGACCTGTTTAATGGGCCGGACACGGGCCGAGCCGGGCCCACTTAAATGGGTCGGGCTGGGGCAGGGCCAAAGTCATTCTAAAACGGGCCGGACTAGGCCTTGGGCTTTTAGGTCTTGCCCAGCCCGACCCATTTAGTAAATAACTGAAAATAGACAAACTTTTAAATAAATCGGATGTACAATAAAATATTGTAAATTCGTTATAAAGTTACCCTAAAATGAGCAAAAGTTACTCTAATATGAATAAAAGTTACCCTGACATAAATAAAAGTTATAAAGTATTTATGCTTTATTCATAAAATTTACCCAAAAAATTGTAAAAGTGACCCTAAATTTGATAAAATTGACCCTTGATGTACAGTATATTACTGTACACCGCATGTATACAAAAGTTAGCCCTGAAAATAATATATAGCATAATACAAAAATAAATATTACAAAACAAATATGATAAAAAAACTAATTATATGTACGTAGGGAAAGTATTCATGAAATTTCTTTCAAATAAAAAAAAAGTATGCATGAAATTCTAGTAATTTTTTTTTAAAAAAAATTAAAGGCCTATAAGGGCCCGCCCTAGCCCGTTAAGAATCCACATTTGGTTGGCCCTTTAAGGGCCCGACCCATTTAATTATTGGACGGGCTTGACCTGCTTATAAATGGGCCGGACCAGGACTTTTAATGGGCCCCCAGTCCAATGAACAAGCCTAGTTATGGCATGCATTATAATTAGGGAAAATTCATTTTAATAATTTTAACTATGAGCGATTGACCTAGAAGAAACCCAACTAAGCATTATTATCTAATAATCTCAGCTTTGCTAGGAGTTTGCCTCCAGCAGTCCCAATGACCAATCACGTGTTGACACATTGAATCGGCTCTACCTGACAATAGGGGAAATAAAAAAAGAAGATTATAAGAGCTAATAATTTTTGTTATTAACATAAAACTACGAATTCTCTACCTTTAGAAAAGTATGAGGTAACTCTTTATGAATAGTGTTTATTTACTTAATTGCCCCATTAATATTAATTAGCTCAATTTTGAAATTATTAAGAATAGTGTACGGACATTTATACCCCTAAAAATATTTGTTTCCATATCATTAATGCTACTAACAATAAAAGTTGTGATGTAAGGCTAAATCGAAAAAGCTTCCCGAAAACTGCTAGCTATGGTGCGCACATCGTGCGCATTGGCCACCCTAATGACAAAAAAATAGGCAGAAAAATTGGTTATTACAGTGTCAATTAAAGTCATTTTCCATAACTTTTAACTGTGTCTCACATTATTTTGAATGTTAAACGATCTGATTAGGCACGCTTTCACATTCCACTTTCGAGTATATGGACGGTAAATACATAAAACAGAGCATATGGAGTAGGCATCATGTAATCGGTTGAGTAGGTAATTTTTTTTAAAACAAAATTGAATTTACACATGTCACCACGTGATTGGTTAAAATCTAAAAAAAATTAATCAAAATTAAAAAGGAAAATTTGTCAAAAATAAGTCAATCTTTGTCCGATTAGCTCAAAATAAGTTAACCTTTTAATTAACTAAAAATAAGTCGAATTTTACATAGTATTATCTCAAAACAAGTCATGACCCGATGGATCTTTAGGCAACCAGTTGTTTAGGTTAATATGCCACATGTCAAAATATAATTGGTCCTTTTTAATTTTTAATTAAAGTTAATTATTAAAAATTATTTTTAAAATACCCCTCCCCCAAAACACCAGTCAGCCCCCCTCCCTTCACTACACCAGTCAGACACCTTGCGTCGACCACCGTAGATCCCCTTTGTCAGTGACTAGCTTAGCAACCCCCACTACCAGCCATGGCCGACTAACAACCTCCCCTTGCCGGCCAGCCTCCCCATGGTTGACCACTTTCTCTCTCTCCCCTCCCACCAACCACCCCCCAACTTGTAGCACCCACCCTCTCGTTTCACCATTCCCGACAAACCCCACTAGGCCCCTACCACCAGTCCCTTCCTCCCTACCTACTGTCGACCCGATCTCCCCCTTCCCTAAACGCCGGCCAAATCCCCTCCCTAACGCTGGCTAAACCCCCTCATTTCACTGCTTTTTCCTTTGCCCACGTTGCCACGCACAGGCGCTGCACCTTGACCCCTTTCTCCCCCGACCCCCTCCTTGATGAACACCGGCAAATCCCTCATACACGGTCGACGTTGCTGCTTTTCTTGCTCACCAATCCCTCTCTCGGTCCAGAGATAGTCGACGACGGTGAGTCTTGAAGACGGTGGCTTGGCTAGGTATGGGTGGTGAGTGGTTTGAGGGTGTAACATTTGCTATGGTGGTTGGTTGCCCAGTAGTGGTTCGTTGGAAATTAGGATGGAAGAAATTTTAGAAAAAAAAAAAAAAGTGACTTGTTGGGCAGGTTCAAGGTCATTTGACTTAATTAAAGATAAGACCCTTAAAAGGTTGACTTATTTTTAGTTAATCAAAAGATTAACTTATTTTGAGCTAACTACACAAAGGTTTACTTATTTTTGACAAATTTTCCAATTAAAAAAAGGAACAATTGTCCAGAATAATCCGACCTTTGCCACATCTGCCCAAAAAAATCCCACCTTTTGATTATTTTTAAATAATCTGATCTTTAATGTCAATCCGCTTTAAATGGTCCCAAGTGACGTGTGACCGGTTAAGCAAGTAGTTTTTTTTATTAAGTTTAATTTACTTTGTCACAACGTGATTTGTAAAAAAACTTTTAATTTTATTTTTTTAAAATAAATGATTATTACTCCTAATTATTAACAACTAACTAACAATAATTAACCTATTTAAAGCTAACTTTTTTTAAAAATAATTTTAAAAAATGATAATTATTAAAAAATTAAAACCACCACCAGCCCCAACCACCTCACCATCTACCCAGATCAGCCGCCAGCCCCGCCGCACCCAAACCCCATCTCCTCCACGCCGGTCGCCACCCTCCCCCGTCCCCTTTTGTCGTCGCCCTCCCCTATCCCCTTTTATCGCCTTTAAACCATCAATCCCATCATCGAAATCAAGGCGTGGGAAGGGAGGGGGGTCAAAATTGAGGCGTGCGAAGGGGAGGGGGCCGAAATCGCGGAGAGGGACGGAAAGGGGAAGGGGCCGAAAACTAGGCGAGGGAAGGGGAGGGAACAGGAGGGAGGTTGGGATCGGGATGGGGAAGGGTTTCGAGGGTGGTTGATAGTTAGGGGGGGTGAGGGGAGTCGGCGGTTCAAGGGGGAGGGGGATGACGGTCGGCGTTGCGTGATGCTTCGGTGTTGGGGGCAGGTAGGGGGTCGGGTGGGTAGGGGTGGGCGGCCGTAGTGGGTGGTTGGCTGGTGGGGGTGTTTTTTTTTTTTAATTTTTTTTAATCAACTAAGTAATAATTTTTTATTTTTTCTTTAAAAAAATTTTAAATTTTTTTGATTTTTTTGATTTTTTTATTTTTTAGACCAATCAAATGTCGACACGTGTCATGTAACTTGTTATAACAAGTTAAATGACCGGCTGGGACCATTTAAAGTGGATTGATGTTAAAGGTTGGATTGTTAAAAATTAATCAAAATGTGGGTTTTTTTGGGCGAATGAGGCAAAGGTCGGAATATTCAGGACAATTTTTCCTTTTTTTTTTAAATAATAATCTATTTTTGTGAAACTGTAAGTAGTTATGATAAGATATATTTTTTTTATTGCACTTAATTTATAATTGTGGGTAAAAAATATTTTTAACAGCTACAAGTATTTTTTTTAACAAGAATTGAAGTTATAATATCATTAAATAATAGCCATACGACACCTATAACAATAAAGATCTGTAAACCACAAATTTAGAGAAAATATCATAACTTTTATAATCAAATTCATAATTAATTTGGATATTTGGTATAGCTCATACCCCACCGCTTTAAGTTTAACGCGAGCAATAATTTTCGATATCTTTGCATCTTTCCAAGTAGAGTCCTTCGCAATCCACGCTGATGTTTTGATCGAAAAATTGATGACAAACCCGAGACCCAGAGGAATCCAAACACCTTCCCAATTATTATAAAAACCCAAATGAAATTCCCATCCATGGATGAAATTAAATTAATATCCCAGAGAATTGAAAAAAAACCCAGAAATTTGGGACAAACTAGAACAAAACAAATCATAACAAACCAAAATGCAAATCAAAGTAAAAAACTAAATTGAATTAAATAAAAAGGTTCAGAAATAGTCTAACTCCGATCTAAACGGTTAAAAAAAACTAAACCCTATAAGAGAGAGGAGAGAGGAGAGAGGAGAGAGGAGAGAGAAGAGAGGAGAGAAGAGAGAAAAAGAAAAGAGGGGCGGCTAAGAGCTACAAGTATTATTACCCCTTGTAAAATCTTCCCAAAAAAAAAAAACTAAGGGCAAAAGCGTCAACTAGAATCTTCCCCTTGTATTTTAAGAGTAAAGCCATTGGTTGCCCTTTTGTAGTGGGCATGAGGAGAGAGAAAATGAAATAATATTTAAAAAATAAAATTTCATCAATTTTGGAGAAAGAAATGCCATGACCAGGTCATGGCCATGACCTTTGACAAAAGGTGGGCAAAGAATTTGAGTCCGCCACTTGTCTATCTATAATTGGCTGATAGTATTTATATTTTATTTTCTTTGTACAAGTATAATAAAGAAATTATTTATGAGTAGGACAAGTAGTGGGGGTTTGTATTCGATCATTTGAGATTGGACATTATTAATTGCACTTGCAAATTATTGTTTGTTTGATCCTGAACTAGAACAATCATGGAAACATTGGCAAGGCGTATCCCTGTTGTAAAGACCACTATCGCCGGAACCAATGATATAGGCAGGTTGTGTGTAGGTCAGGGATTCTGAATCATTCACTCATTCATTCTTATGTTTTCTATTTCTAAATTCTTATGTTTTCTTTTTGTAAATTATTAAATCGAGTGTAATTCTTTTGTTTCATCACACCTGCAGGGAACTCACGCGCGCTTATTGTTCCAATGGAGACTACTGATGAGGGTGAGTCTGATCGATTTATCTCTACGTTTTATTTTTTTTTATTTTACAAGTTTAGGCTCTTCAGATTAAGCTAAGTAGTACTCTGCATTATTGTAGAATTATTAGATTACCAGCATTATCTACACATGGGTTACTTTTATTGAACTTGTGATCAATCCATGTTGGTTGCTTCATTCCTAGATTAGATTTGTAGTGAATAGTGATGAACCTTTTAATGATAAGGTTAAATAATGATACAAGTCATTAATCTAAATATGATATGGTTTTGCTCTTCTAGATTGGCTTTGCAAATATGTGGCTATTTTACAAGTTACTGCATAAAATACCCTTACAATTTCCAAATATACCATCACAATTTTTCTAAAAATGTGACTGACCAGGATAAGAATTTCTATTTATCAAGGGACTGTAATGTTTTGATTCCGTGTACACAAAGGCGCTGAGCTTCTCAGAAGCAAACTTGAGGCGCATCCAGGGCTCAGATCACCTGAATTTTATCTACAGTATTAAAAATTTCCAATCATCAAATGTTCTCATTACTTACTTTGTGCTTGGTTTACTTGTAGAATACGCACACTTGCAGAAGCGTCATCCCTTTAATATTCCGCTTCTACGTCTTTATAAGCATGTACCTGATCTAGGAACTCGTGTAGCATGCAATGATTGTGTCGCACTAATCGACCCTGATCTTGATGAGGTTTGTGTGTGTTTTTCTTGTGGAATTATTGTTTACTTTATCTTTGAAGGTCACTTGTTCCTCAACTCTTGGTTAATTTGTCTCTTAACTTGTGTAAACAGGAAATTGAGTCTATCATATCAATAGTTCTTCATGTTCGGGTTTACAGGCGTACCATTGCAGGACTCAATAATGTGGGTAGCTTGTGTGTCATAAATGACTCTGGGGCTGTGGTACGTTATTCCTTCTCAGCATACTTAAACTTAAAGATATGTTTACCATTGTACTATATTGTTAGAGTTCCTCTCCCGATTCCAGAAGATCCTGGAATCGATTCTCATCACTTGTCCTTGTGGCTCTCTAAACACCGAAAAAAAGTGTGTTATGATCTAATTTTATCACGTGACTCAATTGGTAATAGGTACATCACGAAGCCTCTAATACAGAAATTGATGAGCTTTCTAAACTACTTAGAAAACCTGTGGAGGTCGGAACAGTTAATAAAGGAAATACGGAATTCATTGCTGATGGAGTGGCAACGAATTGCTGGGCTGTATTCTGTGGTTCTGAGACAGCAAATTACGAGCGCGCATTGCTTGAGAGTGTCTTCAGGCCAATCAAGTTGGAGCTTCCGCCATACTAGTAGGGGTGAATCAAGTTTTAAAATATCCTTTTGTGTTCTAAAATGTTGATGTTCTCCAACATCACAATTGTTAAAGTATCTTATTAATATCTCGTCATATAATTTGTCTTTGTGCTAGTAATAGACGTTGAACTCTAGAATCACAAGTTGTCTTTTAAGTCTGTTGGATTATCTTCCCCTGTCTTCATGAATTTAGTGTAATTATTTTCCCCTATCTTCATGAACATAAAACTGAAGAACATGAATAAAAATTTGAGCATGTTCGAGGATATAAACCTTTAAATTTCAAAATATCTACACTTTGTATAATATTATTTTACTACTCGGTATAAGCTAATTAAAGGTATTAATAATATATAGAATTTGTAATGTAAGAATGTCAAGCGCCATGTTGATAAGAGTATAAAAGTTGGTATAGTGTAAAAATTTGTAAGAGCCTTGACAAAATAAATGTAGGCTGATTGTAATTGATGATTACATACATTAATACATTATACATGTAGAATGTAAAGCAACAAACTTTCCCAACAAGCTAAAGATGGATTGTGACGACACACGTTTGTGAGTTTTGACCATTATACATGATTGCTTAAATTAGATACATTTGTAGTTGTTTTTTTTATCATGGATAACATCACTTACAAAATTAGAGATGTGCGCTGATCCTCCAACCAAGCCTGGTCTTTTTTTCGGTTTTAGTGCTTCCTTTGCGGGTAATGCATTGGCACGATTGAGGGGTTGCCATTTCTTTTCATCCTGTATCACATCCTTCCGACTTCGCTTATTTATATCCACAGTTGACAATCCTTTTTTGCTTATAGCGATTTTTTTAATCTTTGGATGTCCAAGTAAAAATTCTACCATCTGCATATCAAATTGATGTATAGAATTGTAAGTTTTGTATCAATTCTTAATATTTTAATAGGTCTATTAGGTCCAAAGTCCAAATGGGTTCTAGATTAATCCATAACATTTTACTTTCCAACTATTTTGAATGGCCAATTTTATTCCTTTTATCTTGCCTATATGCACTTGTGCTAATGTACAAAATACATCAAAGTTGCTTGTAATGGGAAAGTGGGAAACAATATTGAAAGTTGCGGGAAGTTATTGTTTCTTTAAACAAATAAAAAAAAGGAAAAATTGTCAAGAACTACCCGCCTAATAGGTTATTTTGTCAACAACTATTCGCTTAAAATTTTTATCAAAAAAACTACCACTAAATTTAAAAAGTTTGACTAGCACTACCCATTTTGGTTTTTAGGCAACAACATCTGGCGAGTGGGACTCACTTTTGTTTTTTCTTCCAAAATTTAAACACGAAATAATGAATCACTCAATTAAGAAGCCAAAATAAGTGAATTTAACATCAATTTAGAAGCAGTACATATCTTTTAATTAAAACCACAATTATTTTCTTCCTCTTTAATTGGCGAAATATTGAAAATTTTGCGTTTTTAGGTTGAGTCGTTGTAAAGGGGATTAGGTTGGTTGTTATATACGAGGTTTAGGCTTAAGTTTTGGAAGGAAAAAATAATATTCGGCCACACTTGCCGGATTTTGTTGCTGGAAAACTTGAATGGGTAGTGCTACTCAAACATTTTAAATTTAGAAGGTAGTTTTTTTGATAAAAATTTTAAGCGAGTAGTTGTTGACAAATTGACCCATTAAGTGGGTAGTTCTTGACAATTTTTCCTAAAAAAAAATGATAAATTAGGGTCTCAAATCTCTCAAGGATTGTGAATTTGTGGTTAAAAGACAAAAAGAAAAAAAAGACATTTATATTATTTTTAATTCTTATGATGGATAAAAAGTTAGCTATAGAACATGTAAAAGTATGGTCCTTAATTGACGGAAAAATATTATTTTATTGAAACTATTAAAATATTTCATCTGTAAGTGCATTATATTTTAGAGTCAATAATCACACGAAGTATATAGATTGGTTACATGACATACCAAATACGTAGTATGATATAACATACTCTTGTAGTTATAAAAATAATTTGAAAAAAATATACATGTACCGGTTCATGGGGCAAATATAAGTTGAGTTAGGTCTATAATCGTTAAGACTCATATTAGACCTAAACCATGTATATATGTTTGAACTAAAATCCGATCCTTCCCATCAACCCCATAGGGTGTAAAAATTTGGTCCCATATCCTAAAATTTGAAGTTGGGGCTGGGTCTAGCATGGTCTAGATCCTCCCTACTTTGATTTTTCCCGTCTGTGGCTCTACACTAATAACGTTGGTTAATACAAGTACTTCGTTCTTTCTTTGTATAAGAAGAATAGGACAGACAAAAACTACTTCGTACTTCTTATATATGTTACTAAAATAGCTAGTGTGCGGTTCATTTTCATCTTACCTCGGATTGCTTGGCAGCCACAGCAAGGTGCAAGACGGTATTGCCAAGGGCATCACCAAAGTTAAGCAACTCATTATCATCCATCATTTCTATCAAAAACCTCAAAGCCTCTAGTTGTTTATGTTTCCCACACAAATGCAAAATAGTTTCACCACCAATAGTTCGTTCCCAAACAGATTGTGGCTCTGCCATTTAAGGCAGCTACGTGAATAGGCGTCTTACCATCTTGGTCATTTGTGTAGCAAATGCTTGGATTCACCACAAGCAAGATTTCGACAACTGGCAAGTTCCCTTTGGCAGAGGCAATGTGTAGTGGCGATGATCTTTTTATTTGATCAACCAACTCTACTAGTTCTGGCTTTTTCTTTATTATTTCCTTTGTAAAATTACATGTTCAAAATTAGCCGCAACATGTAACGGAGACTGCTTAAAGCTTCCCAACTTTCCAATGATGCATCGATCGAGGATAAGTGGATCTTCACCGAGCAAGTTGAGTAACGATTAACGAAGGTACGTCTCCCTTGAGTGCTGCATCATATAGTCTTTTAATAGCAAGTAACTGTCCTCTTTCTATTTGAGCTTCCATATTTTGTGACGTTTAATTTATGGGAAAGAATTCTTGCGTTACAAATTTGCTTGTAATAATTGTGCACGTCTTCATTTCTTGGAAGCTCGCTCCAAATAATCTTTTTCTAGCAAGGGTTGACAAGTCAATAGTGGCATGTATACAGTATACTATATATAACTAATAATTTGTAGTGAAATTCAGCAATAATGGAAGTCGTAGTTTTTGGTACCCAGCTAATAATCGTTGACGATTCAAGAATGTGGAGTGTAAACGGTAATAATCTTGTAAAGAAGTAAAGTAGGTAGAATAGCCAATTAATAACCTAGATCTAAAGTGAAAAGATACAAAGTAGGAACTTTAAAAATTCAAAGTAACACACCATTAACTCATTAAGCAAATTTTATAATCAAAGGAAAAAAGGGAGTATGGAAAAGATGTTGAAATCAAATTATAAATAAAGATGAGGGGGAGAGAAAGAAGAACTGTTAAATATTCAATTTAATGATACATAGCAATATCTTCACCCATGATGAAAGTGCAAGGAAGGGGATCAACCAGGCCGCTACATCCTATGAAAGTGTAATTGCAAACTCTTGCCCTTTTTTCCATGTCATATGCTGCCAAAAGGTACGGAATCAGTTACCAGCTCCAACCTAAAATGTGTATTAAAACGGGTATATAATTATATAGTACAGACATATAGTAGCCTAGGAAAAAAAGAATATGTACGTATACAAAATATATGTTGAAACTCATTATAGTCCACTTGTGAGTGTTCCGCTTTGGAGAAAAAGGAGAGGTAGTTCCACTTTATAAGGTAGAGGAATAACTTCTACTATTGTCAATTGATTTTAGTATATATGGAAGCTCTTAAGCCTTGTTTGTGGACCAAACTCTCCTCCTCCTTGTTCGGTTGCCCAGACCCATTTCATATTGTCTTAAAATTTAATATGGTATCAGAGCCCGAGTTGCGGGGTCTCTTCTAAATTGGGTATATAATCGCTATTGGATAAGGATTTACCTCGACAGGATGTCCAGCCCATAAAAGGATTATTGATCTGGCCTTATCCAGTTAGCTCTGGATTTTTAAGGACAATCATAAGTGAGAGGGAGTGTTGAAACCCATTGTATCCCACTTGTGAGTGTCCCGCATTGGAAAAAGAGGGAGATGTAGTTCCACTTTATAAGGTAGAGGAGTAACTCCTACTATTGCCAATTGGTTTTAATATGAAAGCTCCCAAGCCTTGTTTGTGGACCAAACTCTCCTCCTCCTTGTTCGGGTTGCCCAAGCCCATTTCATATTGTCTCAAAATTTAGCAATATTTTAGATTATTAGAGGCCAGGTAAAAAGATCGGACCCACATTACATCAAATTTTAACTGCTAGAAGGCAAATAAATTTATTATTCATGTTATCAAAAAGATTAAATCTAACATAACATGGTGTTAGAATTTGTACAAAACGAGATGGACAAAGTAAAACTCCTTCAAAAATAGACGAATATATAAGAACATAAAATTCTAGTTAGGACGGGAGCTTAAGTAATTTTGTAGTAGATTAGAGCATTCTCATTATTATAGACGAAGATAGGCCAATTATAATTGATATGTGCTCATATATTTCACATAAAATGCAAAGTAACAAGCTTTGACAAATAAGCTAATAATGAAAAGATGGTACATAAATAAAATCATGCTTATTGCAACAATCTAATTAACCAAAGTACTACTCGTACATTATTATTGAACAGCCGGGAAACAAACATGGCCGGAGTAGATCGCGATTAATGTGAAGAAGACGCATCTTAATTGTGTTGAGACTATCATACGTCGTCGATCAAATTTGATTCATTTGTAGTGTTTTTTGACCTTATCCGATAACACATCATTATTGATTGCCTCCTTAGCCAACTAATAAGCTTCCATATGAATCGCACAAAATGTCCCATGACTATAGTTCCCATTAACCCTATCCAAGCTACGAGAGAAATCTCTAATGCTTTCCAAATTCCTCCTACTTCATAAGCTAAGTTAGACTGGTTACTGAGAACATGTATGTCAATGTTGTTGCCGTGACAGAAATCCATAGAGTTATCCTCAAAACAGATAATAAATATTGCTTGCACGGAAAACCGCTTATAAGGAGAAGGATGACACTTAGTGATGATATTAGTCCTATCGTATTACTAACTAGTACATTATTATAACCATAATAAAAATCATGTATTGATGACCATATAGAAGTACCTGCAACATGGTCGGTATTATCTTGCCAAACACCTCCCGGGGGATTAATTCCGACTTGGAAAGCCATGGTTGCTGTTGGAACAACAAGTGTGTAGTGTGTGAATTTTGTGAAAAAACTCAAAGTCCCACATTGGTGGGAAATGAGAGTTTTACTCTCTTTATAATATAGAGAGTGGGCTAAAGGGGTGTGGCCCTTGGGCTACCCACATTTTGTGGAGAGGGAGGACCTATATGGTAAACCATCTATCACACACGCGCGCCGAACCGAGCCGGGCCGGGTTGGGTTAAATAAACTTATTTTTTGGACAAGGCTAATTGCGTGATTAGTTCCTTGATTTTTGCTAAACGTTTTTGACTGATTACATTTGACCGTTTTTTTACGTTGCAATTTTTCCTATAAAAGGCGTGTTGATTTCCTGTTTTTGATACACAACAAAATACAGAAAGCAATCTTCTTCTCCTCTCTATTTTTCCTCACAAAAACAAAAACCCTCGAGCAGTTTCTTTTCTTTTTTTTGGTGTTTAGTTGCCCGGTGGTTTTGTGCAGTTCCACCGGTATAATTACAATAGAGACAGTGCCGTGAATGTTCTAAAGAAAGCGACATAGTCCGCGACTCAGTCTATTTTTCGGTAACTTTGTTCTTACTGTTTTTGTTCCCGCAGTTCCGTTTATAACAGTTGCGATCAAGGATGCCGCCACCATTAGAGCTGTGCGATGTTCCTCCAACCAAGCACGGTCTTTTTTCGTTATCAGTGCTTCCTTTGCAGGTAACGCATTGGCACGATTAAGGAGTTTCCATATCTTTTTATCTTGTATCAAATCCTTCCGACTTTGCTTATGAGTATCCACAACTGTCAATCCATTTTTGTTAACCGCATTCTTTTTAATCTTTGGATGTACTATTATAAATTCTACCATCTGCATGCATATTAACAAATTTAAGTATAAAATTGTAAGTTATGTAATAATCTGTTCCAATTTCAACATCTCAATGACTATTTTGTTCATTACATATAAATCATACAAAGTAGTAGATAATAATAGGAGGGTATGTCAATAATGTAAAAGTCAATATGTTACAATATATATTTGTTGAAACCCATTGCAAATTCACTTGTGAGTGTTCCACATTGGAGAAGATGAGAGATGATTCCACTCTATAAGGTAGAGGGGTTACTCATACCATCACCAATTGGTTTTAGTACGGAACTTCTTTGGGCCTTGTTTGTGGTCTTTTGGACCAACTCTCCTTCTCCTTATTTGAATTGTCCATTTTCATTCCTTTTATTTTTAAATTTAAATGTACTTGTGATAATTGAGATGTCAATAATGAGAACTAGGAATTGATCTGGATCGTCCATCGCGTTCTATCGAACGGTCTACACTTCACTCGTCTCACTAAAGGCATTTCGTAATTATGCAGCCTTTCAAACTTCTTTTTAGATTATTCACTTTATTTAAAATCAATTTCATTTGGTTCTCAAAAAAAAAAAAAAAAAAAAAAAAATCAATTTCATTTACTTTTTGACTGATTTTATTTACTTCTACTAACTTCTCATTTACTCAATAATAAATTAATAATGAAAACTTTACCTCTGGTTGTTTGGCAGCCACAGCTAGGTGCAAGACGGTATTGCCAAGGGCATCATCGAGGTTAAGCAACTCACCATCATCCATCCTTTTTACCAAAAACCTCAAAGCCTTTGGTTGTTTATGTTTCACACACAAATGCAACACACTTTCACCACCCATTGTTCGCTCTCGAGCAGCTTCTAGCTCTACATTAAGAACAACCTCAAGTACGTCAATTTGACCATTTATGGCAGCTACGTGAACAGGTGTCTTACCATCTTGGTCATGTGTGTAGAAAATGCTCGAATTCACCATATTAGAGTCGGTTTGGTTATATTTGTTAATATTGTACCTTTGGCAAGTTTATCTTTTTAGGAGTTTTAGGCATGTTGTGTATTGTGTATATATATGTGATTATAATCAATACAAAAGGTTAAGCCGTTTTCTCCACATCTTTCTCTACTTTAACATGGTATCAAAGCCTCTCTAATTTCTACAGATTTTTTTCGATCTTGGTTTGTTCTTCATATTAATTTTATTCCGCAATTTTTTTGAGTGAGATTAGTGTAGGACTATAGATGCACTAAGCGGAATTGCATGAATCATATTCATAAGCATCTAACAACCAAGATCAATGCATAACACATAAAGAATATAGAATTATACCTTTGAAGCGTGAATCCATGTGTGATCGAGCAAGAACAATAAGGAGATCAAGAACCCCAAGTGTGATTCCTCTACTTAGTCCATGAGCACGGATTGAATCTCCACTAATGCTAGTTAGTTGTGATTGAACACTTCAATCAACCTTCTACGGAGAAGAAAGACACGAACTAACCACGAACCACCACGAAGAACACCACACGCCACCAAAGAGGGGTGGCCGTGCGGTTTGGTGAGGGGGGGGGGGAGGGCGTGCGTGAGGAGAGAGAGAGTTTAGGGTTTTGGGAATTGGTTGCCTTGTTTCACAATTCACTGACAATTGAATGTCTTGTGTCATGTCTTCTTTCAACCCTAGGCATGGACTTTATTTATAGATCATATCTAGAAATAAGAGCCCATGTCAAGCCCAATTCCTAACTCTATTCTAACTACTCTAGCCCAAACCCTTTTATGGTTTGTCATAGCCTCATTGTTCAATCCAATACTCTTGTGTGTGACATCATAGGATCCATTCTATTGGGCTTTGGACTATTTGACTAGCCCAAAGATCATTTATCAATTCTAGCAACAGACAATGACGACCCAAAAGAATGAACTAATTATCTCCATAATAGCGATCGTTGATATATCTAGTAATTGCACTTGACGAAGACATAATTCCTTCAATCTCCCACTTGTCTGAGACAAGTGCGCAATATTCAAATTCCTTAAGTCAATGTGTGTCGATTTGATAATATGATTGCATTTCATGTCGTGATCATATTAATCTACAAATCTTTTCTTGAAAATTGAGTTAGAATTACAAAACAAATGAGTACTATGTAATCCATTTGAGCACGGCCATGAATTTTCTGAATTCTCCCTCTTCAAGGGGCCATGACACATTCCTAATTAAATAGGTAGACTCAATCCAATCTTGTGGCAACCAAAGCTCCCACTCAATTCTTGAAGTAACCGGGAAACACCCTTTATAGCCTCCTTTTACGGCACGGCGTTTGAATGTACCACAGTTAAATCAATCATTGAATGAAATCAATGTTCCACTCATGTCAAAGGAATCCACTAATATATCCGAAAGCTCTATACTTGAACTTCAAAGTAGGTCTATAGTTCAATCATGCATCATTCATGCATATTAAAGTGATTGACCGAGCATCTCTATGCCCCTATAGCCCATGAAACTGCGCTATCCAATCAATCTTACATGCTAGTCCATTTATTGAAATCATTTATGTCCAATTTAATGATTTCGAACAAGGATCTTAAATAATTTATGAATTCAGTTCACCTGTGGGGTTTCATTCACCAAGTCATCAACTTGATGAGCCCATCAATTCATAATAATTTTGGACATTTATTTAACATCAACAACCATAATTAAATAAGAGAAATAATGAATTTCTGATTAAACATAATTCTGCAAATGAATGTATTACATATGTAATAAGTTTTCTCATAACAAATACAACTTAAATTACATCACTTGCTTCAATCCAGTTTCCCTAGTATGAGCTTCATGCTTGGGCTGTGGAAGGGGTTTAGTAAACGGATCAACGATATTCTCATCCGTATGAATTTTTCACATCTTGACATCTCGTCTGCCAACGATCTCTCTAATGAGGTGATATTTCCTCCCAACATGTTTGGATTTGAAATGTGACCTTGGCTCCTTTGATTGAGCAAGGCGCCATTGTTGTCACAATACAATTCAATTCCTTCTTGAGCACTTGGCACAATGTCCAGCTCAGTAAGGAACTTCTTGATCCAAAGTGCTTCCTTAGCTGCTTCAACGGCAGCCAAATACTCTGATTCTGTTGTAGAGTCTGCGACAGTGCTTTGCTTCGAACTCTTCCAGCTCACTGCTCCTCCATTCAGAAATAAAATGTACCCTGACTGGGATTTGAAGTCATCTCTGTCTGTTTGAAAACTCGCATTCGTATAGCCCTTGACAACCAACTCATTTTCGCCACCATATACAAGAAACATTCCTTTAGTCCTTCTCAAGTAATTAAGGATATTCTTGGCAGCTGTCCAGTGTGCTTCTCCTGGATTTTCCTGAAATCTACTACACATGCTAAGAGCATATGCAACATCCGACCTCGTACATATCATGACATACATAATAGACCCTATTGCAGAAGCATAAGGTTTATCAGTGTAGACACCTGATTGTGTCTCCTTAAAAAACCAAATCTAGTGATGAGTACCTTTCACGTATTTGATTATCGAGTTAGGTGAAGAGTTGAAGAGTCTCGTGACTTTCTCCTTTTCTAACCTTTCTTTAAATGTTTTAGACCAAAATCATTCTTTTCGTGTCCTATTTATAAAAACGTCCAAATCAGTTTATTTTGGTCATAATCTGGGTCCAATAATTGTGTAGTTGGATGGGGTTTGAAAAGAGCTTTCCAACGATATATTATAAGCCCAAATCCGAGTTATAACAAGGAAGTTATGGCCAAAATACTAAACTGGGCCCAAACTGAGCTTTATATACAGACCCAATGATCATGTGGAGGGTCCATTAATCTTAACTCTATTTATAAAACCATTAGGATTTATAATAAGCTTCTAGAATTATCTAGAAGGTTGTTTTGAGTCCTAAATCCCTAAGGATTGATTATTAGCTTCTAGAATCTTCTAGAAGGTTCTAATTTATCCTCTTTTTGAAAAGATAAAGACTAAGATTTTATATCGGATAAAACATGTGCTTTTTAATAGATTTAATTCTGATAAAATAATGATAAGTACGGATATTCGAATAACCCAATTTGATTGGAAGTCGGATTCCGTACGAATCTGATCTTCTGAAAAGCATCGTGCAGCGATGGAATCATCGCACAGCGATGCAAATTGCAAATATCACGCAGCGATATAAGCATCGCGACGCGATGGATCCATCGCCACACGATGAAAAGCTTTTTACTCCGAGTCGGATTCGACTCTTTTTCTGATATTTTCTCTCGTTTTTCCCTATAAATAGGGTCGTTTTCCTCCGTTTTCAATCATCAACAAGCTTGATCACCAACAATCATCTAATCTCCCTCTCTAAGCTTTAATCTTCTTTCTCTCTCTCTTTCTTAACCTTAGCCTAAACACATCACAAACACACACCATACGTCCTTTGCGAGACTCTAATACACCTAGCCAAGCTCGAAGTTGCCTTCGCCCTCGACGTGAAAGGTTGATAATTCTGAGGGTTTGGTCCCAAATCCATATTTCAGTTATTATTAATATTATTGTTTAATCTTTCTTGAAGTTACTAACGTGTGGATTGTTTTAATACAAAGAGATACGAGGCATCAAAGTGAGTAATTTGATCTATTATCTTTATTCCTTTGATATAGAAATCATGCTTAGAATATTATTTTAATTCCTAGTATCATGTTAGGATGTTTATTATGATTTCTAGTATCATGTTAGGATGTTCTAATATTTCTAATATCATGTTGCTTTCTAGTGTCATATTTAGGCTAAAGTTTTGATCTTTTTTTAGTGACATGCTAGGGTTTGTTATTAATCCGTTTAGTATCATGCCTAGGATCTTGCTATTAATCATTTTTTGATGAGATTATTATTATGATTATGGTGATGATGATTTGTTTTGTCAATTATTAATTATTACATTGCTTGATTATTCATGATTCATTGATATTGCTTGATCACGCCTTTTTCCACAGGTTTAAAGGGAATTTGTACTTGAAATCACGCCTAATAAGATAATTAATAATTTATTTTAGGTTTAATATGATTTTAATTCAAGTGATCACCAATAATAGATTTATTTGTGCATTAATAATCAACCAATATAGATTAAACAGGTTTAGGATTAACTTATTGTATGTATGTTGATCGGAAAGCGCACATGAATATCATAAGAATTAAGTAGAGGCCGATTTAGGGCGGGTTCAATCTCTTTTAGGTTGGACTTGTACCGTCATCCCCGAATATCCAGTCATGGTTCCGGACCACTATGGAGTTAGAGATCTCCGTGATCGTGAATGGGGTGTAACCTTCACACCCGTGAACGGTTTACAAGTTTCTAAAACTTGTTGGCAACTCTTTTATCTCTACCTTCTTTCCTTTTGGACGCCACCATGCTTAAGTGCATGATCACAGTGGAGCTCAAAGTTGAGTGTTGAAATATTCCCTACAATCAGCCATACGTCTCAACTCTTCTGGCTTTTGAGGGCATTGAGTTTTACTGAGCATAATACCATGAGACATGGCAATAATTCCTCTTTTGGAGTCTTTCATCGCAAACCTGTCAAGAACCTTATTAATATAAGTCTCTTGACTTAGTCCAATCATCCTTCGAGACCTATCTCGACGGATCTTGATTCCCAAAATTTACTCGGCGTCACCCAAGTCTTTCATGGAGAAACAACTCTTCAACCATTCCTTGATTGACTCAAGCATTAGTATGTCATTCCCCATGAGCAGTATGTCATCTACATACAAGACTAAGAAAACTAGGTTGCTCCCACTAGACTTCTTGTATACACAAGGTTCTTCTTCGCTCTTGAGAAAACCAAACTGTTTGATCACCTCATCAGGTTCCAACTCCTTGATGCTTGCTTCAACCCATAAGTGGATTTATGAAGTTTGCATACCCTTCTAGGATTTTTTGGATCTTCAAAACCTTCAGGTTGTGT